ATCACGCAAACGTGCCGCGCAGATTGGCTCAGCTCTCAACCACTAGAGTCGCAGCCTGATACGCGTGTGCATTGATGGAACCAATCACAGCACTGGTAGGCCTGCCTGCGAGTGTGTGCAAATTCGAGACTTCATTGGAGGTGCCTGCATTCCATTGCAAACAAACTAATTGTTCATAATGAATGAGGAATCTCCTCTCATTATATCCTCCACTCGCGCGTCTTCATGCCTATTTCCACCTCCTGTCGTTTAAACACACACGTGAGATGAACTGCAATGAAGTAAGGCCTGATTTACTGTATTTAGGACCATTCCTGATGATGCTTTGACTCAGTTCACTTGTTGGATGTTCTGGACTGCCCACTAGACGTCTTCATATTCTAGAATGCCTTCAGAGATTCGCATAAAATTAGTTTGCTACATTTTTGTCCACGCTGCGCGGATGTTCAGATGGTAGCAAATTCTATTAGTATTTGCAAAATAAACCATGTTCTTCTATTTACATATGCAAATTCCTCCAATTAAGGCCATACCCCTTTCAGATTCAAGTTCTTATTATCATCAACAGCAGAGTTGCATTTATTTTGACCAAACAGTGAACCCGACCGATAATTGCCAAACCCAATTGGTTGGAAATTTTTGGTATATTTATGCCTGTCTTCACTACCCTCACCTCTGCATGTTAGCATCAGTTAGCGCCAGAGAATTTCGTGATAAGCTCATTCAAGAAATTTTTACTCTTTCCACCGGGAAACAGTTAGCACTGTTGACTACCACATTTGAGGAAAAATAGTTGGGGAGATCCGTTTCTCTCTTTCCCTGAGAGCGCGCGAGTTGTTACCGTCTTAATTACAAAGTGGCAGCTTAGTTCGCTCGTGTGTTGAGTCGAATCTCGCTCTTCCTTCTGGCTGAGTTGATGGGCCAGTACTGCTGTCTTTCCCATAGATCTGTCACATTTTCCTACCCACTCAAAAGGGATTATTGTACATAACTATTTTGCGTACTTAACAAGTGACATGAAATTTGAATCGTAGCATTTGTTAAATATGTGAAAGTGAGATAAAAGTCCATCAGACAGCTTATAACCAAGACTGCAAAGTAATTGACAAATTAATACGGCTTTCCCAGCTAACAAATTTTGGGAATCCAAAAAGATTTAACCGCTGGGAAAAACGCATGCGTTATTTATGTGCTCCACCTTCCTCATGTTCAGTAGTTATTCATTGATTCACTCCATTTCCCACTGTGCATTTTACTTTGGCTAGACGCATTGAGATAACATCAAAACCAAGGAGAAAATCAAGCTATTACTGCATCAGATGAGGAACGAGTCTGCTGGAGAAGTGAAAATAGAGTGCTCCGAAACCACCCTTTGACCTCGCCATTTTGTATCAAAAGGTGTCACATTTCAGAATGGAATGATTCAAAATTTGAAGCAGCTTTAATTCTAATACGACCTCTACAGAGGAATTGTGATACTTCTGCCTTTAATGGTGGTTTCAGTAAGCCAGCTGATCGCTGCAGATTACCTTCAGGATCCAAGCAACCTCCATCGTGCCACGAATGCCTGGAGAATATTTCAAAGGAATATTCCCAAACTTGCAAACCAAGGAGTAAAGATGAAGTAGCTGGTTGATTTCATTCAAGCAATCATTGTAAGTGTCAAAAGAAGGACTGGCGACTTGTATTGCCTGGCGCCTTATCCAGCATCCAATATTAATGAGTCACATTGTGGAATGAAACGCCTGTTTAAAGTAGTCCCCATTGGTTGAATTACAGTAATGGGTGGTATGAAGACCCCCCCATCGTGAACAATCACTTATGAAACTATCACAAAATATAGCAGAGCTCATATTGCACCACTTGCACAAGTTTCCTTTTAACGTATGATGCAATGACGTGTCTCGATGTAGGCAGGTCAGCAAAAAGGTCTCCACTCTCCAAGACACTTCATTAGTGGCATTCAATAGTCGGTATGACCCAGGGCCATGGAGGGAAATGGGGACAGAAGCAAGTGGATAAAATGTTTATGATTCGCGGATACCGCTGCTATTGTGTGGTGCCAGCTGCAGTTTGGTGTGTGGGGAAGGAAGCAGATATTACGCTCTCACAGACGGCATTCGTCAAGATAATGCCCTTAATATAATCGTAGTTGTGACTTTACTTCTCCACGTTCACATCAAGCAAGCAATCAATCAATTATCGGTGATTAGGATCTCCTGGTGACGTGGACAGTTGGAAGGTTTTGTCCTAGACACACTATATAGAATCCATATCCCGGCTAAACGTTGTCAAGCTCCTAAATTGGGAAACCAGTATAATAGCAAAGATATTCCGCCAGATCCACCCACTTCGCCTAGTCGCATCGACCACATTCGTGTAGATTTGTATAAGAAGCCTATATTTCTTGTGTATTTAAGCATTGATAGCGTGTGGAAAGGATTTGCCGTTGATGTTCTTGAAAATAGCTGTAACACTCTTTAATTGAATCGCCTTCTTTACCAAATGCAAAGCCACGCACACCCACCTGACAATTTGCTCAAACAATCTGCGCAAAAGCTCTGCCCAGTTTGGTCGAAGTTTCAGCCACTCAGAAAACTTGACGCGGGCACACACTTGCCCAGCCAATCACACCACTTTTGGATGCGTGCATTCATATTATCGAAGCGCGTAGTATGCCTGTCTTCTGATAATAACTTAGTGACGACTTCCCCGTTTTTAATGACAAATGCATATCCTCACTTTCAGAGAGGCCTAAGACGGCTTCGCACACAGAACCCGCGGAGAGTCTCGACACAATATCAACCTCTACCCAAATCACGTTATCATCTAC